GGACACGGGACGGCTCCCACGCATGGGCTTCGAACCCGGAGTCCGTTCCGCCATGGAGTCAGTGAACGAGTTCCGCGACCGGATCGCCACCGGTGTTGCTGAAGCCAAGGCCGCGCTCACTAAGGCCAAAGAGGAGTACAAGCGCTACTACGACCGGAGACGGACTCTGTCTCCGGAGTTTAAGGTTGGCGACCGTGTTTGGCTGGATGCCTCTGACATCAGGACGACTTGCCCCTCGGAAAAGTTCTCCCATCGCCGCCTCGGACCGTTCAAGATAGTCGCGGAGATCAGCAAAGGTGCCTACAAGCTCGACCTCCCTCTGCGCTACTCGAAGCTCCACCCGGTCTTCCCTGTCGTCAAGCTCGAGCTCGCCCAGGACGACCCCTTCGACGGACGCCCCGGCTACGACCAGCCCCCTCCGGACCTTGAGGACGGAGTCCCGGAGTGGGAAGTAGAGGAAATCCTGGACGCAAGGGTGAGGTATAAACGGCTGAACTACTTCGTCAGATGGAAAGGCTACGACGCATTGCACGACCAATGGGTCCGCTTCGACCGCGTCTTCGCCCCGGAGAAAATTGCGGAGTTCTATCGTAAGTACCCTGGCAAGCCACGACACATCGCCTCCGCGACCTTCGACTCGATTCTGTTCCGGTCTATGCGTCGGGACGCCGCATTCAAAGGGGGGGGGTCATGTCAGGGGAACCTCCCTTTCGGCCCGGAGACGCGCCCGATTCCGGTCCGACTCCGGTTCCGACTCCAGTCCGGCCCTCCATCTCGCCTGCACAATCACCGATCCGTCAACGCCCTCCCGACGGTCGTCCTGGGACCTCACCTGCAACGCCGCCCAAGCCTTCTGTGCCCGACAGCGGCAGCTACGGACAAGCAGTATATAGTCAGCTACCTAGCAGGCGGACCCTTAGAGTTTCTTCTCTTTGGATCCTCCCCTGCTAGGACCTTGATCTCAGGCCTCCGGGGTTGCCCTTACAGTTTAAGAGATATTATGCTAACAGGATGAGGTTGCATGAGATGTAAGTTAAGACTAGTTAGGTGCTAGGGCAGTTAGGGGATATTAATAATATAGTTAGCAACAGAAAACTGTAAAGAAAGGTCTAAGTTAACAATAAGAAAGCAGAAGAAGGTACTTTTAAAGACTAGGGGGCTTATAGAAACCAGGGGAGAAAATATCATATAAGGACTGAGTAGAGGTGGTGATTTTAAGAAAAGAGTAAGCAATGTGTAATCTGATAAGGTGTCATTATAAGGGCTATGTATTACAATATGTTAATGCATTAATTGCCTATAATAGTAGAAAGCAGATTAGTAACACGGTGTGACACGGCCAGTAACTGTATAAAAAATTATAAGAATATACTAACAGAGTATAAAAGTGGTGTAAACAGATGACGAAATGTATATGCTAGGTGTCAGGGGAATCCCTGCTTCGGCCTCCTTCGGACCGTCCGAGTGCATCCGAGGCACATCCGACCGGCGCCCCCTCAGACGCTCCGACTCACCCCGACCATCGTCCACAGCCTCCTTCGCCCGCACAATCACTGATCCGTCAAGACCCTCCCAACGATCACCTTGGGCCAGAGCCTGCGACGCCACTCAGGCCTTCTGCGCTCTACGTCGGCAGTTACGGACGATCAGTATATAGTTGGCGCCCTAGCAGGCGGACCCTTAGAGTTTCTTCTCTTTGGATCCTCCCCCTGCTAGACTTTCGTCGGAGTCTCCAGGGTTGCCCTTACACTAGGCAAGTCTGCAGTATACCCTAATATGCCACACTAAGACAGTTGCATCTTTTTATAACACAAGCAGCTAAGTAACTACCTAATTCTTTTTGCTCCTCTTACTTAAGGTAGGCTAGTAGTTATATAGAAGGTTAACAAGCTTTATTAATAGAGTTTTTAGTGTCTAGTTTTTTAAAAAGGTTGTATCTATGGAATTCTATTATTTAAGGCTAGAAACCTCACTTAGCTAATTGCAAAATAATTAGAGGACAATTATTTATATTAAGGTGTTACTGTTCTAAAAGAGATATAACTGCTGTTAGCAAAAAATCTAACAGGCAACTTTTCATAGAATATAGTTGATTGAAGATGAAGTTGAGGAGTGGGGCTATAGTGCTGGTTGTAAGGGCAACCCCGGAGGCCTGAGATCAAGGTCTAGCAGGGGAGGATTCAAAGAGAAGAAACTCTAAGGGTCCGCCTGCTAGGGAGCTGACTATATACTGCTTGTCTGTAGCTGCCGCTGTCGGGCACAGAAGGCTTGGGCGGCGTTGCAGGTGAGGTCCCAGGACGACCGTCGGGAGGGCGTTGACGGATCGGTGATTGTGCAGGCGAGATGGAGGGCCGGACTGGAGTCGGAAAGGTCCTTGTCCTTTGGTACAACAATCTTCCCTCGGAAATGGACAAACCTTGGACCTTAAGAAGTTGCCGGGCCACTAGTGCGACGGGCTCCTCCAGGTCAGGCTCACCGGAGAGGGCATCACGGATATTGCGAAGGAGTTCAGAGCCGGGACCAGAAACAGAAATGCCCTCGAGCGCGCAGACGTGGAAGAGTTCAGGCTGCAGAAGGACGACATCGGAGTTGTCGGAATTGACTCCATGATTGGGTCTCCGGGAGAGGGCATCGGGTCGGCCCATGTTGCGACTGGGCTTGTGGTGCAGTGTGAAATCGAACCGGGAGAGGTACAAGGACCACCGGGCCTGTCTCTGGTTGAGATGCTGCGTCTTCCTAAAGTACTCCAAATTCTTCAGCTCATATGGCTGCATCTATGCAAAAGATGTGGGTAGCATCCTAGGGGGGTAATGCAAAAGATGAGGGCAACTGCTTGGAAATTAAATTAAATAACACTGTTTTCTTGTTTGTGGCTGCTATATCAACGTATCAGTGATGGGATCAATGGCATATAGGTATGTTGATCAATGTGGAACGATTTTTGATTGCCATCAGAGCTTTTGATGACTGCATCTTGCTACATCAACCTTACTTAATCGATTATTAATTTTTTGGTCCCTGGGCTTATAAGTCTCAAATATAATATTACGAATATTCGGCCCAAAGAAAAGGTGATTTATCTTCCTATATGTATTTTTATATTAGTCATATCTCTTGATTCCAGTGAGAAATTCATGAAATACATCTGTCACAACATCTTTTGCATTACCCCCTTGGGATGGTACCCACATCTTTTGCATAGATGCCGGATGATTGTGAGCATCTCCTTGTCGTGGATTTCGTAGTTGCGCTGGACATCATTTAAGCTTTTGGAATAGAATGCTACAGGGTGCCACTTCCCGTCCGGGGCGGATTGTGAAAGAACCGCCCCCGTCGCATAATCAGAGCTGTCCGCCTTGAGTTGGAAAGGCTATGCGTCGTCCGGAATCGCCAGAACCGGTTCCGAGGTGACCGTGTCCTTGATTGCTTAGAACACGGAAGCCTCCGCATCGCCCCAAGTCCATTGCTAGTCCTTCTTGGTGAGCACGAAAAGAGGGCGGGCAAGGGTCGAGAAGTCCCGAATGAACCTGTGGTAGAAATTAGCAAACCCAAGGAACTGCTGAATGTCCTTCTTGTTTTCCGGAGTCAGCCAAGCGGAGATGCTTGCGACCTTGACAGGCTCCATTTCCATGTGGTTTTGGGAGATGATGACCCAAGGTACTCAATTGACAAATTTTCAAAGTCGCACTTCTCCGCTCGGAGGTACGACTTGTGCTCTCAGAGTCGCCGTAAGACCTCCTGAACAATGTGCCGGTGTTTCCGGCGGTTAAAATGGGCAATGAGGATGTCGTCAAGGTAGATCATGACATCTCCGGAGAGGATGAGGTCTTGAAAAATGTCATTCATCATCGTTTGGAACGTCGCAGGAGAGTTTGTCAGGCCGAAGTACATCACCAAGGGCTCGAACAGGCCTCGGTTAGTTCGGAAAGCCGCTTTCCACTCATCACCTTCCTTGATCCGGACGTTGTTGAAGCCCCAACGAACATCAAGTTTGGTGAAGTAACAAGCGCCTTTGAGCCGGTTGATGAGGTCGTTGATCAGCGGGAGGGGGTACCGGTTTTTGACGGTCATCCCATTGAGAGCACGGTAGTCCTGGACGAAGCGAAGTCCGCCATCCTTCTTCTTGACGAAGAAGACCGGAGACGCCATCGGAGACTTGGTCACTTGGTCACTTGGAGGGGCGAATCCGGCCTGTCGACAGCCCTTCCTCAATGAACGTGTTGAGCTCACGCTGCTCAAAGGGCGAGATGGGGTACACCTTGCAGTTGGTGTGGTCCCAGGCTCTCCGTTCCGGTAGCGTGTCGAAGGACTCCTTGTTAAAGACATCCTGGAACTCCTTAGCCCAGTCTGGGATCTCAGAGGGCGGAGGGGCGGAGTGCCTGGCAAAGGCTTTGGCCAGCCGCTGTGAGACAGTGCTGCCTGCGCGTATCTCCTCCGAGGGATGGAACGAGGTGTAGAAGATGCAGTCACCATCTTCGAGCTGGTCATCTTCATCATCTGAGTCCGAGTCCGGTGTCGGATCAGGCAGGTGGGAATCGAGACCGGAATCGGAATCGTCTCCGTACTCAGGGCCAGAGAGGTCCATGGTGCAAACCGAAGGGAATGGACCAGAGCAGAGACGTTTCTGGAGCAACTGGAGTCACCGCAGCTCAGTCCGTTCGACACGCTCCTCCTCGCGGCAGGTTGAGCAATTGCGGGGGCACCGTGTCATCGTTCCTAGGTTTCTGCTTTATCTATAAAGGCTTGGGAACCAAACATCTCTATTGCCCCTGAGTAATTTTGATTCTCAGCAAAAACTCATATTCTTTTACAGTCCCTCACGAACAAGATACCAAATGAGCCTTTTACGCAAGGCTAATGGTCTAGAGGTATGATTCCTGCTTTGGGTTCTTCCAGATGCAGGAGGCCCCCGGTTCGATCCCGGGTTAGCCCCTTTTATTCTGATTGTCCCTGGACATGTAGTGCTTGTCCCGCAAATAACCTCCAGCACAGCACTCTGTTCATGCCCTGTTCACACCCGGCGTGGACCTGCCAGTATACTGAGTTGTTTATTTTGTCGGCCAGACATTGATTAACCTGTTAAAATTAAATACCTCTACGCGGGTATAGGATTCTACCAGTCCGTCTAGAATACAGTTCTAGAGCCACATCTTACACACGCTACACCTTCTCGCGGCCCATGTTGACGTGCGAATGTGTGCTTGTGCGCACCGTCGGCGTGGCCGTCTGCACGCTCGGCCCGCCTCCGTTGTCGTGCGACGGGCGCGGAGCCTCCCCGTCGATGTCGAGCAGGGAGCGGTCGCCGGCGGGATCCCGGCTCCGCCGCCGGTCGGGCAAGCCCGGGCCCGGGAGGCCGTCGTCGTCCTCGTCGCTGGCGAAGGTGACGGAGGTCATCGCGATGTTGGCTGAGGTATCAAGCTGCGCGCGGGTTAACCCACAGCCGAGGTCAGGAGGAACGCGCACCCCATTTCCATCGACTGCCGCGACCTCCAATGCTCGCAGCTTCGCGCGCGAGTTCAGGCTGAGAAGATCTTTAGCGATCGCCGTGGGCAACGGCCCGGGGGCGGACAACACACCTGGCCATGAGAGAGTTCGCGAATACTAAATTAATCACGAATGAGCATACACATCTAAAACACGGCGGACGTACGTCGCGTCTTCACCACTTGGATGGCGACCCAGATGACTGTCGCGGACATCAGCGGTACTCGGCGGGGTTACGGAGCGACGCACAGGTCCCGCGGAAGCGGTCGTACTACGTGGATATGAGGATGCGGCATTTACGGAGCGAGAAACGCACAATGACCAGGTTGAGGATGCTGAACAAACTAAATTTTCGTCAGCAATTAGACCAAGAGGGAGTCATACCGCACCTAGTAATTAGGCCCGTCTCTATTCATAATCAGCGTTCTTTCAGCCACACAATCACGAGGATGCCACACCGATCGTCCACGTAACCAGCTGGTCCACCATCGCCGTCGTACTATCGAGTCCCTTGGACCGTGTTTGCAGCAGCAGGAGAACCAGGCTCGCGGTGATAGTCGTGTCCTGGACGAGGTTCATGACCCACGGCGCGAAGAGGAGCCAGCGGTAGCGCTCGAGGAACGCCTGGATGCTCGGCACGGTGAATGTGAGGACAGTCCCCGCGAGCGAGAGCACGACGTAGACCGCCTCGCTGAGCCAGAGGGCGAGCGCAACGCCCTGCAGCACGCGGAAGAGTGGTCGCTGGCGCGCGGACGCGGCGGACAGCGAGAAGATGCGGTAGGCGAAGAAGGATTGCACTAATTATCAGTGACTCTCTGTTAATTGTGGCTGGAATGGGGGACGAAGGCGCACCAATTGCGGTAATGAAGCCACTCACGACGACGGAGAGCGCGAGTCCCGTCGGGACCATCCCGAGCAGCCGCTGTGGCTGCCCGTAGTACTGAATCGTATACGCGTACAGCACCTGACCGATGCAAATCCCGTGTGCGAGCTCCAGCAGCCTGCATCAGACCGTCAACATCAGCGTTGGCCTCCCGGTCACCATCAGCCCACGCGCACGCACCATACGGACCCAATCTGTCCGCAGCGTTAGTGCTGTAATTACCCAGAACAGAGACGCAAGTCACGCAACTAGTAGCTTGAGCGCACGCGGGTCGTCCGCGAAGCCCGGCTGGGCGTAGTACGCGTACACCTGCAGGCTCGTCACGCCGAACAGGCAGTACGACACGAGCACCCCGATCTCCAGGGCGCCTGCATTCGTCCTCTTTGTCAGCCCGAGCGCACGCCGGCGGGGACGGCACGCACCGAGGGTATTCGTCGGGTCGAATGGCGCATGCGTGGACATGCACGGGGGTCACTGGCTCCAGGGGGCGGGGAAGGAGGGCCGGGAGGGGCGAGCCGCTGGTGGTGGTGGTGGTAGAGAAGAGAGACGCGACGGCGACAACGGCGGCTGACGAAATTAAGAAGGCCGCTTGCTATTGCTGCACATCGACACGCGATTGATGCCAATGGCCCGGCGGCTTCTTCTCGTCCTGTGTCCATGGGGATACGCGAATCGTGGAGCTCGCAGCCGACGGATCGCTGCCACAGCCTAGCTAGGCGTCTATGCTGACGCCACACACACGCATGTTGTTAGCACACAGCAGCGGATTCGTCGTTGGCACGGCGCTGCCAGTGCCCATGGAGAGGAAGTCTGAGGATCTGTCTGCTGCCATGCCCGCGCGTGGAAACAAGAAGCCGCAGTCAACTCAGGTCCGACGATCTAGAGCAAAAGAAGCGCGCCTCCGACAGCCGCGGAAAAGACGGATGCAATATTCTATTTGATTGATAGATTATCCGTCGGCACCCGGCACCCAGTGGCTTGTTCGGAAGTCCATAAACCCAGAAATTCCAAATTGAAAAGGCAAGCATTACATATTCACAGCGAGAATGATGATATCAACAGATAAGCCTCCAAGAAATGGACTGTAAAGCATAAAAAACTTATTTGGGATAGCTATAATGACCAAGATGGTGCCAAGCTGCAGATTTTGATTGTTTCTTAAAGTATTTATCAGGGGAGCCCTTCTCTCAGACTCTTCAAACCACTGCCCCTGAAGCTTAGCTTGAGTATCAATACAGGCTGTGGATGTCAGCACAGGTACCTGCGAGAGGACATCTCAGGCTGCAGGTTTGATATCCATACGTGAGTACAGGTATGACTCTAGAAGATCACAATCTTCATTATCTTATGTCTCTTTCACTACAGTCTTTTCATGCCCTTTGACATCTACTGTACTATTTGGAAGTATATCCTATATAGGCTGTTAATATTGTCAAGTATTGTCAAGTATTGTCAATATACCTCAGTATCCTGATGTTATATAAAAATGACTTGAGCAGGTAGCTATTTTATATTTGTAGGATAGCATAATCATATTCAGCTGTAAAATATGAATATATTCAAATATAATTTAGTATACATAATCTAGTATACATAATCTCTGGATATATTTGACATATTTTCTATAGGAAAAAATTGAAAGCATAACATATATGCTAGACTGTCAGGTAACTTCCTTTCAGACCTCTCTTACTCAGAATATCTTGTGACTAATAGGAGTAATATATTGCATTTATCAGAAGTAGATCCAAATCAGATCAAAATTAGTACTGTTAGAGATTCACAATTGTTGTGGAGTAGCCTACCTTCAGTGCATCCTCACCCTTGCTAAGCAGGAAGATGACAACTGAGATAAGGCAGTGTTTGATGGTTCAGCCTTTGATAATGCTGAGGTACCACTGTAGTGAATATAGTGCTCACTGGAGAGAATGATGATGGACTGGAGTCAATCGGAGAGCTGGAGGATGTGAATTATCTTACTAGTAGTAGGGAGACAAATTAGATTTTTTGGCCATTTATATACCATTCTCTGAACAAACAAAATATTTTTGACTTGAAACCTGAAATACTCCCTCTGTTACTTGTTACCTATCATGCAAACGTGCAACAAAACACACTATCTGTTACCCATTACATTTCTCCCCCACAGAATCTTGCAGTATATTTGAATATTCTGTGACTATAATATAGTATAGTCATAACATAATATAATATATTCAAACGTAATCATGTTCCAGTAATTAACCAAGGGCATAATATCCTGAATATATACAGTATAAGACAATACTTAATCAACCATAATATAATTCTGGTCATAAGCCTTAGCTGTCCTGTGGTGCAGTCAGAACATATGGTACAAACAATACTGTAATAACTGTATTGCACTCACTATTATGGCAAACCAGTGAGGCAGTGCAACAGATCAAACATCTACATAGCTCTACAGTAGGAAGTTATACTGTGACTGACATCGCCGTGGATCGAAGGATTAACACATACTAGCCATAATTAGTACTAGACAGGGCTGGGGCTACACCCCAGCTTTGAATGTTACTTGAATAAAGTGAATTTCCAATTTCTTTTTTTAAAAGAAATACAGAATACTGTATCATTTCAACCGTAAGTTCAGGTGCACCTGAACTGATAACCTGCTTAAATATCTGATCTATTATTATCAATGTTGATTTGTGATAAAAACAAACACCTCAGGCTGAATGTAATGATATTATCAATATACTTAACTTGAACTCTGATATCCCTGAATGTATCACACCGATGAATCCTTCGTTGTTTTCCTCCGTAGCGACACAATAAGATAGTCTGGACTCTGGCTTCGTCTATCGCCGCTGGCGCTTCGCCTCCCGTGCCTCCTCACTGACAACATCCCCACCTCCATCCTCATCTTCCAGCCTGCGGCGATACCCACTGGATGCCCTGCGCGCCGGCCGTTGAACGGGCGACTCCGCCGCGTCGACAAGCGGTCTACCGGGCCGCACGCCCCGCTCCCGGCCGCGGAGCTTATCCCGCAAGGTCCGATAGAGCTCCCCGTCGAAACCCACACACTGCAGCCCGAAACAAGCCGTCCGCGGCCTCCGGTCCGCAAACACCTCCGCAAGCTTCTCGGTCAGCAGCTCGTAGTCGGGCTCCCGCCCGCCGAGGCGCAGGCGCTCCAGCCCCATCGCGCGCATGGTCGCGGTGAACGACTGTGGACCCCACTGTCAGCAAAGCGCGGCACTAGTAACGGGGGGATGGGCAGGCGACTCACAATATCACGCGGGAGAATGGACCCCGGTGGGTGCAGCGCGCTCATGTCGTGGACGAAGTAGACGCCCGCATAGTACATGTCCGACTCGTCAAGGACAAACAGGTCCACTTCTGTCCCGCACAGGCGCTGCACCGACTCATTCGCCGACCACTCGCCCGCGGCCTGGCTGTAGACCATCGTCGGCTCGAAGCACAGCGCATGCAGCTTCTCCTTGGTGCACCACAGAGTGCGATGCGGCAGGTAAAGTGGCGGTCTGGATGGCCTCTTGTCCTGCGAATCAGATTCAGCAAAATCGCGAGAAACACGTGTGGGAACTGACGAGCGAGCGCAGCATGGCCGTGGCCCGATGATTGTTCAAGTTGCCTGCCACGCGGCCAATGTTTTTCTCGAATGACGGCCGTGTGGACGGACGAAGAAACTGCGCCATGAAGTCCAGGTAGATCTTGCGTTCCGCCAGCGGGGCCTAAAGCCGGTGAGACGGCACGCGCAAGCAGGAAGGAGGCACAAACTACACGAGGACGGAAGGCTCCGGCGGCAGAACCGGTCGGAGGTGGCATCTTCGGTGAACTTGAATCAGGCGAACCTGGTGTCACGGTATTCTGAGTTTGGTTGCTCATAGCAGACTGCCTAGATGTCACAACGCAGATCAACGAATCTTGTTAGAACGCGCACGAACGGCGCCGAAATTGCCAGCGACGAACAATCATCGACGGGCGATTCCCGCAACACATCAGCCTGGAATTCAAAATCAAGTCAATATTCAAGATCGTCACGGTCATCGGGAATCTGACCAAGTCATCGGGGAGGGAGATAGACCTAGTTTCGCTCTGGTGCAGAGGCATCAGCCACGGCTACAGGAAAGACTCGAGACCGAAAACCTTGGAATCAAGTTCGTTGTGATGTTCTGTGAAAGGGGACTACGTGCGATATCAGCAGGGCGGTCCGACGAATGATATAAAAAAACATACCAGGGCAGGCTGCTCCGAGTCTGGGGAAATCGACGACAGAGACTCGGACTCGGAGGAAGTATAACCAATCTGAGACTTCCACTTAGTGACAAGGAGATTGACGAATAAGAAGGCAGGATGCACCTGAGAAACGGACGTTGAGACCTGGGGTCTTGTCAACGGCATCATGATCGAACTATAGGAATGGGTTTCCGCGGTGGGGTCTTCCGAGTCGGCAGTCTGAAGTCTTTATTCTAAGCAGCAAGAACCTTCCGGGAAAGAGTACGCACGAGCGCCGCGCGAAGGTCGTGCGGAAGTAGCGCTTGAAGTTGTTGGAACGGAGAGAGGAGTTGCTGCAGGGCGGGGAGGTGCAACTGGAGGGGGTCATTGGTCGTTGGGTGGCTCGATGGCGCCTTCAAGACCGGCGGGACGGCCTCAGGCTGTGAGACGATGAGCGAGAGGGAGGATGGGACAGAGTCGTTATGGCGCACGGAGGTCTGTTCGACAACTTCTCGAATGCTCCCTTCTGGCAGACTGTCATTGCTTTCAGGGCACTGCGGGCGATGTGTCTAGAAAGACGACATGAATAAGCGGGCAAGGAAGAGTGGTGGGGTAGACGAGCCTTCTTGAGTTCCTCGTGTTCCCGCAGCAGCGTATAGAGTGCGCTATTAGCGGCCGCAACGTCGCTGTCCCGCTGCTGGAGCGCCTATGCACCAGTCGTCAGCCAGGATACAGCATTGCGTGACGATCCTCGCTCACCTCCCGTGCCGCATCCCGCTCCCTCGCCAGCAAGTCGCGCTCCGCCACGAGCATGTGCATCTCCCCGCGGATAAGCTGGCGAGCCGATTGAGCACAACACACAAGGAAAACCCTGCCCCAAAACGCACCTCGGTCCGCTCTTTGAGTGCCAGTACCCGCTCGTCCAACTCCCGCTCGCGCCCCTCCACCGCCCGCTCACGGTCTTTCACCGACGCCTGACGCGCCTCGTTTTCCGCATCCTTCCGGTGCAGGGCCTCGTTGTGCTTCTGTGACTCTTGAAGCGCATGGGTAAGGACGCGAAGGAGCGCGGCAGTATCTGTAGATGCGGGCGGAGCCCGTCCTTAACGCGTCGTTTGACTGAGATGAGGTCGTGATGAAAGAAGGGGTGAGTTACGTGAGAATGATTTCCGACATGTCACGCGTGACCCGATGCCGAGACCGGCTAAAAACCAGTATTAAACAGGGACGCCCCTTAGATTCCTCCTTGCATTCTCCCACAATGGAACTGAAAGACGCAGACACCCAGACTCCTCCCCCGCCGCTGCCACACGAACAGCTCCCCGGCCTGCGCTCCGCCGACACCGTCTGCGAGTTGGCCGTCCTGCTGCTGATGCTCGTCAGCGCCGGTTCCCTCGGTTTGGAGATCACCGCCTACTTCGCCCCGGCACGAGACAACGGCGGCGGCGCCCACCTTGCGGCACAGATATTTGCACTCGCCGTGCTCACGGCCACAGCGCCCCTCGTACTCGCCCCGCTCCAGGTGGGGAGAATGCAGGCCCTGGCGTGGAGCTTGGGAAGCTGGATCACCCTGTGTGAGTCATGTCTCAGACATTGGCGAGGTTAAATGACGCCCCACCCAGCCCGTGGTGCAATGGCGCTCTTTGTTTTTCTGCGAGGCCGCCTCGGCCCGGGCGGCGCGCCGCTCGTCGGCTGCCTCGTTTGCTGCCTCGCCGTACACAGTGTCGTCGCAGGCTTCGTGTGGCTGTCCCAATGCGTCACAGACGCACATTCGACCACACAGCACGAAGTCGTGCGTCCCTACTTGATCTCCGAGTCTCCAGCACCTTGAGAAAGTACTGATCACACCAACAGAACAACACCCGCATTGTGTCCCGCCTCGCAGCGATTTCCGCCTTTTGCGCCGCGCCCGCTTTCTTTGCGCGCCCGCTGGACATCGCCCTCACCGTCGCGGGATTCAAGCTTAGCTGCCTTCGGCTCAATGGCTGCACTAGGATGGTGGGCTCCGCCGGAATTGGACCCGCCCCTCGGGCCGGAGCCGCCTGCGGGCAAATCGCCGGAGGTGATCGCCGCCCGCCAGGCGTGGAAAGAAAAGAAAAGGACGCCGAGGATCAACGGATCTTCGGCACGCAGTTCCGGCAGTCCGCCGCGTTCTGCTTCGCGCTCCTGCTCTCCGCCGGTAAGTCGTCGATCTCTGCTCCGAACTTCTATGATTACCTTGTACGATCCAGCGCAAGTATACATTATGAGCGAGCCGACCTTCAACCCCGGTGGTGCGTGGGATGGGCCGACGGCGCACGTGCTCGCCGGTGCGCTCTTCTGCGACATCGCGGCCTTCTGGACCGCGGAGGGCTTCCGTTCGCTCAGGGCCCAGCTGGCACGCGATGCGCGGGCGGCAGAGGAATTGCAACCGAAACCCATAGTTTCGGAAGAAGTTGCAGTGCCAGACTTGGCTGTGCCATCGGTAGCAGCAGCTGCAAACACAACTGGGAGCACGGCCACGGAGTCAAAAGGTGCCGCAGCCAATCCGGGGCTTCGTCGGGTCAACCAGTTCGCCGTCGCCGACGGGCGGACCTAACAGGCTGAGATCTACGGTGTCTACTCACAGGAAACTTTAGTTGTTATTTGAGACTCATTCTTGTTTCAATTTCATTCACAGAACCATGAAACATATATTTATTCCACAATCAACACTTCTTAAGTTTTAACTGCCCAAAGTATTGAAAGTTGTGTGATGCAGTTCCCAACATCCGATCACTCGATGACGATGACGCGTGACATCATATTTTTTTTTTGGCTCTCACGTTGCTCACCCCTTTCCCTCCTCCTCGCAATACTGTATGGAGGTACCTCCTCCCGCAAACGCCGGGTCTGCAGCGCTCCTCCGAGTGCTCACTCATGCGCTGGAAGAGTGCCAGCAGCAGAACGCGGCTCTGCGACGCAAGAATGCGGAAAACGAGGCGCGGCAAGCGGAGGTGCAAGAGCGTGAGCGGGTGGTAGAGGAGCGCGAGCGGGAGTTTGACGAGCATGTGCTGGAGTTCAAACAGCGCGCCGAGGTGCGTTTTCAGAGTCAGTTCTGTCTGTGGACTCTCTTAATGGACTTTGCAGGGGATTCGGGCGGAAATGGAGATGCTGACGGGGGAACGCGACGTGTTGGCGCAGGCGCGGGACGAAGCACTCAAAGTGCGCGATCAGGCACTCCAGGTGCGTGCATTTCGTCACATTACTCCGCTGTAATCGACTCAGGAATGACCTAGGCCGTCTACCAGCGGGATTCTGACGTTACTGCGGTCAACGACGCGTTTTACACCTTGCTCCTCGAACATGAGGACCTCAAGAAGGTGCGCGGTCCTTTCCCCTCGTCGTTCCTTTTGGGCTCATACCGATACAGGCGGTCGACGGGAGATTAGCCGAACGGGACCGTGTGTGGCAACAGCGCTACGATGGCGTGGAACTGCAGTTGCAGGCCGAGGCGCGTCCATTGTTTCCGTTGCCTTACTGGTCGCTTATCCGAACAGAGACTTCGCGCTGAAGCGGCGGAACATGCGAATCGGGAAGCTCAGAGTAAACTTGACATCGCAGTCAAGGTACTCATTCCAAAATGCCCAACAGATGTCTTACCCGGCTTGTTCAGGAACTAGCAGCTGCGAAGGCATCGTTGGAGGGCTTCAAGCTGGAGAGCAAAGATGCTGGACCGGTACGCTGTCGTCCTTTCGTTGTGCGTCAAAGTTAGGACTCAAAATATGCTAGCAGTCCCACTGGCACTCCCGAAACGTCGATGAACCGAGTATTCCCCAAGCCATCGTGCGCGACAATGACCGCCGAAACCCTGTTCCGCCCGCTTCCTCTATCGTCCAACCAACCGGTAATCATGGTGTACCGCCCTTGCCTCAAGCGTTGCGCCCTCAGGCTATCAAACAAGAGTGCCTCCCGCGCGACCTACTTGGAGAGCTCGTATGGTGTTTGTCTCTGCCGAATGTGTGTGTGCTGCTAATACGATATATTCCAGGCTTCTGAAAATCCAGCACCGTATGTCGCGAAGCCCGAAGTCCACGCCGCCGTCGTAGAGGTGCATTCCGTTTCTTTCGTCGTCGTCTTGCCGAAATTCCGCTTACCCAGGAGCTAGACTGATCACACATCTATGCCACGACCGGGAGAGCCAGAGCTCCCCTCCATCGTAAGATCCTGGTGTTTCGTCGAAATGTATTGCTTAGGCCACACGTAGGCTTTTATCTCGGAACCCAACGACCAAGATGATATGGATATGAAGGTTGCTTTTCCGCCGACACGTTATGTGGGTTGCGCGCTGATAAAATATTGCAAGAGCGAAACTATGTCAATATCTCCCCCCGCCGGAAGACTTGGTAAGGTTTCCATTCTTCCGAACTCGATGGATCATCCGCTTCTCTGCCAGATCGATATGCTGCGAGATTCGCCTGTGCGAGACTATGCGCCGCTGGCAATGCCGGTAGCCACAGCTTCGGCGCCACTGGTATTAGTTCGTCCTTTGTCCAGCTCAGTTTTGAAATTGATTTCGATGCCCGCAGGTCAACAAGATCGGAAGACACCTTGCTGTGGGTCTGCCGAACAAGCCCCTACCAATGGACACTGCGGAACAGAGTTCGGTTCGTGGTGCCTCGTCGTCACAAGCCCAAATTCTTCGGACGCCGGTGGATTTGCCGAACAGGCCTGCAACGTTGGTGGGTATTTTCAAGTTGTCAGTGTTGGTCTGTTGATTCTTTTGCTAGCCAGTCAACAAGCTTCAGAAGCCACCGGGTCTACCAAACAAGCCTCTACCACCGGTACGTTGGTTCGGGCTACCAGGGAGCATGGATTGAAAAATGTTGAAATACCTAGACGCAGCACCGTGTAGCGCCTTCCACAGTTCGTGGATCTCTGCCATCCGTGCCCTCTGCTGAACCGCCTTTCTTTGCAGACCCCCACAGTCGAGCGCAAGATGTATCTCGAATTTATGGCACCATTTCTCCGTCCGACTACGCGGCAGCCGTTCAACAAAAACATCGCTCCCGTAGCAGGTAATAATTACCAGACCATGACTATGTTGCGCTCCCTCGTCAGTCCTCATTTGCACCTTGGGGTATTGCTTACTCTCTGTGATCCTCAGGAAAAGCGAACCTGCAGACCACAGCTGTACCTGCCGCATCGCACGCAGTGGTGCACCGCCGAGAAGCTACACGCGCTTTGTTTCGCGCCGACGATGGTGTACGACCAGGCGACGGGAGATTGGTCGGCGGACACGTCGCTCAGGCGCTTGTGCGGGGAACGCGTAGACTTTTTCGTCCTTGAAAAGTCGGACTTGTACTATGCGGGGATCTACGTCGTCCACGATATGCGCGGCCTGCACCCGCCAGGGTCGGTGCTTCCTCGTGACATCGTACGTGTGCCCTCCCAAGTCCCCGCTCTGGTTACGCATTTTCACGACAGTCTTTCAAGGCGGTCATGCGCGCCATGGGGCTGGAGCGGCCACGGTCGGCAGGCGCCTACACCAACGAGTTGCTGACGGACAAGCTGCTGGAGGTGTACCCGGATCGGCGGCCGCGGACAGAGTGCTTTGGACTGCAGTGTGTGGGTTTCGATGCGGAGCTCTATCAGAACTTGCGGGACAGGCTCGGCGGCCGAGGGCAAGGTCCAATTGGGCAGGGACCGCCTCTATCTGTTCAAGTAACGCGCGTGGCATCGGCTGGCTATGACCGCTCCCGAGACGATGGCGATGGAGGAGGGGGCATGCCTGACGGACAGCGGGAGGCGAAGCGCCAGCGGAGATAAACATTGCCCCCATTGTATTTTGCGAGCTGCGGCCGCTGCCGAACAAGGGTTCCATTCGCATCTCTGTAGGCTGTTTTGTTCATCAGCTCCATGAGTCATCTTCATCTTTCTTCCTGTACAGCGCCGTGGCGAAACTCGGAGTTTGAATGATGGCATCTTCGATCTTTGAAATTCTTAATCGGGAGCAGTGCTGAGCGAGAGTCTTTTGTGAACCAAGTGGTGACAATGGTGCTCCGCCTGACCTCTGCGCGCTATGCGGCGTTTGACTTTATGTGGTTAATACCATAGCCACATCCTTATGGGGCTAGTACTGGTACTTATCCTAACATGAATACATTAACGGAAGCCATCTATTTTAAATTTCGCACGCATGTACACTGCGAAATGGATAGTAGGATTTTCATCATAGATCTTCATAGCTGTATTCAAATCGGAACTCCTGACATTATGTTACTCACCTCATCTGGAGCTGCTGTATATTCAATACTAGACTGAGTATAAAAGCTTCAGCCGTTACCTTCCTGGACCACCCATGAGTCCCCTGCGATTTGGGCAGTTTCTGCAGATTCTTCCTAATGCACGTCGAATGGTGATGTTGTCATGGCCTCGGCAAGTCCTGTCCTAATATAATTTGTTGATTAGCCGGCTACTGGGGGACCGTCATCCCCAAATTTATCATCTCCATCTCCATCATCATCAACAACATCCCCCGCCTCATTCAGATTTACTTCCAGCTTGTCTCCAGTATCAACACCCTCATCGACCCCATTATCGGCCCTCTTTCCACCACAGTCTCAGATCATTATGCATGCTCATGGTTTAGAGGATTTGATACAGAAACTTGCATCATATCTTGATGTTATAATTTCCCCACATCTACCAACTGTGATTGGTAATATCTGCACCATTGCTGCCCAAGAAGCCCAGGCTAAAGCAATTGCTGAGATACTTAGTGAAAACCTGATGTAAGCCAGCTATATTGGGTTATTCACAATCTGATATTTCTGCTTAGCTCTGGTGAGATACCCCTTCAACATGCAGCATTAGAGGTATACATTATCAAACCACTGTGATTCTGCTCTCAATATTTTTTTGAAAGCTCTGGGGAATTCTAGCTGATCAGGCATCCACCCTCTTCATGAAGTATTGCACAGAATCATCCTCCTTTTTGGCTGCTATGGACAATCTGGTGTTGACTGTGCCAAAGTATGAGAGTCTATGGAATTTAGCTCAAAGGGTTCTATTTAAGACATTACAAAAGGGTCAGTGGAATTTCCTTGATGAGCTTGATGAATAATAATGAACTATTGGCTAGAGCATCTTCCACAAATAGAAGATTTGTACAGAAAGTTGGAGATGCCCCGTGAGGTGCATATATTATCCCCATTTAGCTTTTTTTTTCTTAAAAAAAAATAACAATGCCTTAGGAACAACTACCAACTTATGACAATGCTATGTCTACCACAGGCCATGAAATTGTCCCACAACAACCATTGTCACCATCTTTGAGTCTGGAGAGTACTAGGGCATTATCACCAGTGTCAACCACATTTTCTCGGGCTCAACTTGTAAGGCCATTACCCACATTAAACCGTAAATTCTGTGCCCTTTCCCTATGTGAATTAAACTTTAAATCTTTTAAACAGACCATCTCACAGAGCACCACCAAACATCTGTATTTCCTGTAGTATGGATGGTAAGCAGTCAGAGATTAGACACTATAAACTGTGATAGCTCAACTCCTCTTCAGAGGTCTCTTAACTACTTGAGGGGAATGGCCACAGCACAGGCTAATCGCAGGTGATTATATTGCAGATACTAGTGAAAATATCTGCTAATTACTGAATAGTGTTGGCACTCAAGTTGAGAGCATTCTGAGCCTGTGTTTCAATCTCAATCCTATTGAAACATTGATTGCTGCTTCTCGGCATAAACATGTTCTTGTTCAGGTATAACACTCTGTTATATTCATTTTTCTTTTACTTATTTATGAACTAGATCTCATCTGAACTTACTTTAACAGATGCCCCACTGTTAAAGGATGCCATAGAACAAGATGAACACCAAATTGCAGATATTTTGATGTCTTCTGTTCTGGACTCTCCCAGTTACTCTAACAGAGTTTTAACATTGGAGGGAGAGAATGCACAAGCTGTGATCAATACTATTTCCTATGTATGAATCTCAATAACTTGATTCATTATACTCTAACATAAATTGTTTTAGCTGTTGCAAAACTCTTTTCTAAATATAGGAGATTATGTTGCTAGAGCAAATCACATGATGGGAAAGCTTGTACGCCGATGTTACAAGCTCCCAGAAAGCTTCTTTGTTACCAGAATAACTCAGCGGCACCCTCAATCTGCAGGGGGTGGTGCATTTTCAGATGTTTTTCAGGCTGTTTTAAATGGAGCCCCAGTTGCTCTAAAGAGAATGCGGATTTTTACCAATGTGGACTCCTCTGAAGCAGCAAAAATGCATAGAGTAAGCAAAATCAATTTAATTTCCAATAGTTCTTATATTTTCCCAGCGATTCTGCCAAGAGGCTCTTATTTGGAAAAGTCTCCAACATAAATTCATTGTTCCATTCATCGGAGTTGATGCAGAATCATTTCCTCCAACATTTTGTCTGGTTTCTCCATGGATGAAGAATGGAACCATCAATCAATATTTGCAGAGACGTAGCTTGACTACACAGGATAGAAGACATCTTGTCAATCGGCTGGTATGCAAACAATAAAACTTGGGATTATTTTCCTAAAATCAACTTATATAGGTCCAGGAAATTGCTGAAGGTCTTGAATTCCTGCATAGCAAGCGGGCTATACATGGAGACTTGCGTGGGGTAATAATATCTGATAAACAGGTGTCCATTCTAAATGAACTTTCAGAACAACATTCTAGTAAACAATGAAGAACATGCATGTCTAACAGACTTTGGCTTGACCATCTTACTTGATATGGCTTTAACAGAAACAAAAAGCACAATTAGCATGGGTGGATCTGATCGGTGGATGGCACCTGAAGCATTCCAGCCAGGAATTGTCAATCGAACAGAAGCTATTGATATTTATGCATTTGGGTGTTTGTGCTATGAGGTCTTGTTACTTTTTTGTTCAGAAGCTCTATAATTAATTTCTTTTTCTAGCTATATTCTGGACATCCCCCCTTCCATCAAATACACAACATAGCAGTCATGCATACTGTCCTTTCTGGACAACGTCCACCAAATCCGGGACCAAATTTTATCCCAGTATCTGTCTGGAGACTGATAGAAAACTGCTGGAATCAAGATCCAGCTACTCGGCCTAGTATTCAGGAGGTGGTCCATCATCTTTCTCAGCTGTCTCAATCAGGTATTTTACTTCCACATCTATACTAAGATCAAATAACTGGCTATCACTTTACAGAAATTCATTCCTCAGCAACCTCTATACCCAGGGCCAATTTGCCCCACATTGTGAGATCTCAATCTGCTGCTCAGTGGATTCCTCCTGCAATCATTGGCTTAGAAGAGTTCATTGATTTTGGGGTCAACCCTGAAGATCATTTCTTGGATCTGGTGGAACTCTCAACCCAGCAAAGTGGAACCAAATTAGCAATGGCACACCTCTCTACGGAAAACCGATATCAGATGAGGCTTTCACCACTGGTGCAAACTCGTGATGAGGCTGAGCTAGTAGCTGGCATACCAACAGTTGTAGCACTCAAAATTGTGCCATTGCATCCTCCAGATCTAGTCTCCATTGAAGTACTTCATAGAGAGCTAAATCTCTCCATATCCCATCAGCACATCCTTGGTCCTGATGGTGTGTATTTGCACCCAGCTATGGATGCACTGTGGATCAGAATGGAGCATATGGCAATGCCATTGTCAAGTATCATTACACTCAGACAAAGTGGATTTCCTGTGGTCTCCAAAGCTATTGTGGCAGGATGTGTCAAAGATGTTTATTTTATTTTATTTTGTTTTATGTGTCTTGAGCTAATCAGAATCCCAGGTTCTCAATGGTCTGCAGTATCTACAGGGGAAACAAGTTCAAATCAAGGCAGTTCAGTCTCACAATATTCTGATTAACATGGGAGGAATGCTAAAATTGAGTAAGTCTATCTATATATATGTACAGCCAGTTTCATCACAAATATTTCAGAAAACCTGGATGATATTCTTGAATGTATTGATGGGGAAAAGACCTTCTCAGTAGCTTCTCATACTATGGAAAACAATTTCAGGTCCAGATTTCATCTCATTGAGCAATCAAGCATCTAATTTGAGTTATAGAGCTCTCAATTCCATTGCCGCACTTGTTTGGGAAATTACTACCGGTGAACGACCACTGCTAGATCCACATAATCTGCATAGTCCTATGACATTTGCGCAGTTTAAGCAGCCCTACATCAATGCAGAGGACTGGGAGACACTTTCCGCTCATTTGTCTCCAAATCGCCCAATCCTTCGTGGCTTCTTGGAACTCTGTTTCCAACAAGTAAGCTTGACAGCACTCCAAGATGTAAGACTTCCATTCCACATTTCTTGAACAGTCCTAACCGTGACCCCACATAGACTGCATTCATCCAAAATGCATGTGCACGCCCTATAATCTCACAACTTGTGTTACAATGCCGAGCACGTGAGGACCAGATCAGAAGTAGGCCCTGATGATATCTTAAATGGGTACTGTAGTATTTCAATCAATTAGTCCTGTCACGGTCACATTGACTTTTTTGGCTGAAAATTTTCTGCCTGTCACAGGTCACAGCAAGTTTCTTCGGTCCTAAACCGTCCCAAAATGGTAATTTCTGAAAATTTTCGCGCCTACGGCGCGCAGAACTTCTATATAAGGCAGGAGGTCACACCAAATTCAGCCTTTGGCTGAATTGCACATTTCTGCCACATGTGTCACAGGTCACAGGCCCGCAGAATTGAATGAAATAGTACAGTATTCCTACTCCCAATGTATTTATCAATCTGCAAAAAATTTCACGGTGAACTTGGAATCATGCCATGTAAGTATGTAAGCCCTTCACCGTTTTAATTCATCATTGCTCTTTGAACAACCCAGCGCAGGCAGCTCATTGCACAGCGGTTCAACTTGAAAGTCTTCATACCAAATGGATTGTGCCAACAAACTTAAGTACTTCCTCTTCTGATGTTACATGATAAATTAACACGATGCAATCGCCTCAAAGCCCTCTCCCTATCGCTGGAGCTTTATGATCCTGCATAATGATACTATCCGCATAGACAATATCGTCTGCGTCGGGTGTCAACCGTCTAATGTCAATATCGGCGTCTTTGGTGACCTGCACAATTTGGTGTACGTCTGTTGGCGCGTGAACACACGAAGAGAGAGCATATGAAAAACAAGGATAACACACGTATTCCGCCCAGGGTCTCCAGCACGGTCGCCCGCTCCATGCGATCCCGCCCGCCCGAGGTCGCCTGACGTGAGCCGGACACACGCTCCTCGTCCATGTCCGTCGAGTCGCCCATACCGCCCACCCTGCGCGATACGACGTTGTAGAGCAGCGTGCAGCCGTACACTCGGCCGAGGAAGAAGCCGAAGGCGAGCGTGATGGCCGTCTGTGGCCACGCTGCGAAGGCGATCAACGTCAGCGTTGTCACGAGCGCCGTTATTGAGCCAGTTTGCGCGGCAGCGAGGATGAGCTGTCGGACGACGTGGCGCGTCTGCTTGAATGCGGATTTGTATTTGCGCAGCTGGAATACGAGCGCGCATGCGATGGCAATATCGGCGACGGTTGCGGTGATAAACCACACCCTGAGGATTTGTTGACGGAATTTCTGAAGGAAAGGTGACCACGTACAACGAAACAGGAACGATGCGCTGCCGTTCTGTTACCGCAGGATGAAGAAAGGTGAGTGCGCCGAGACCAATTGCCCCGCCGACCGAAGCGGTGGCGCTGAGAGCCAGGACGATACACACTAAATAGTTCTTCGACCTGTTGAAAGGTTAGCGAAAGTGGCTCTCTTGAAATCAACACGCGCAGGATTCCATAGCGCCAAATGAGATATAGTTGCTCGAGGTACCCGCTGATCCCGGTTGTGATACACTGATCCAACAGGTAAGGCACGAGGAAAGGCAGAGATCAGGGACATACATAGGCAGCCCCAGCCCAGGTATTATTAGCGAGGTACGGTAGTTCACCCCAATGGCGAACCAACACCTGGCAAGTACTTCATTTAGCGGGAATTTGTTATAAACAATGTTGCGACACGCACAAGATACACAGCTGCAGCATTAACCATCGTACCCAGCGTATCCACGCCAAGCTGGACACTGACTATCCAGCGCACAAGAGTTGTGTTCGCGCCGGGAGAGTACACTGGAAAGGTTTGTAGCGAACTAAATGCCTGCCGGGGAGAGACCACTCACAATGCCTGCTCGTGTAATACCGCCACGCAAGCACCAGTTCGAGCATGTAGGCCATGGCATTGACCCACGTGCCGATGAGCGCAGGCCTGAAGACGGTCAGGGTTGTCCGCGGGAGAAATGGGGAGCGTACGCGAAGAGACCCTGCAGCGCAGACAGGGACATCGCAACGGGGGCGACGATCTCCCTCAGCGCCTGGCTTTATACTCCTAGGATAAGCCGGGAGTCGTCCTCATGTGAACATCCGCGATAATGATGTCGATACGCTAGTTCAGGCGCTGGCTTACACCAGGGTCCTAGGATTGAGGAGAGGATTCGGGGAGCCAGCACAGATGTTGAGAGGGCTTCGCAGTTACGCAGAAGTCTGCATGGGCCATAGCGCTTGTGAGGAACGAAGGGCAGCGAGGAGGAAAGCCGGACATGGTGGTTTGTTGACAAGAAGCATCCTAGCACGTGTTATGACACATATTGGTTGACGTTTTCGGCCTTTCGGCAACCTTTCGGGCGAAGAACCCCACCAATCTATCATAATTGATGATCATTCCATCATCGAAACTCTTGCTTTTGACATCCATCATGGAGTTTGTACCTGCAAATCCCAAGGTCATTTTCGCCGGCGCATTGCGCGTCCCGGCGTCCGGCGATACTTCAGCGGACATGGGACCTATATTCATGTAGCGCGGCGCATCAAGCCTCCGGAGCCACTGACGACAGACGGGACAAGGCCGTTCCTTGTCGCTTGACCCTGTGGCGCCGGAGCCATACCGTGACCGGACTAGGAATATAGAAACGAGCAAGCACGACGGCAAAGGCACCTACTCCATCCACCCGCACGCACGCACAAATGGGCAACCAAGTCTCTTCCATCATAAACGGTATCCACGATAGTGAAGTCGAGGCCAAGAAGGAGGCGCGCGACTCGCTCAACGCTCTCCTCGAGATGGCGAGCATGAAGCACGAGGCGTTCATGGCGTTCGTGAAGGACAAGACGGACGAGTCGATGGTGCCGATTGACCGCATCCTGCTCATGGACTATAACGTCAACGCGTCGGTCACGAACGACAACAGCAAGGTCAAGGATGCTGTTATGGGAGCCGTTTCCGCTTTTGCCAAAGGCGCGATTCTCGATGGCAAGTCGGGAGCTTCGATCTTAATTGTTAACTCTCTACTGACTCTTCATTCCGCAGGTGTCGCGTCTGTTGTCGGCATAGGGCTCAACGCCGTCCTCGCAAACGTCGCAGCCAACCAATCCGAGCACAACACCTACGTTATCACGTGCGGGCAGCTCGGCGGGCTCATGCGCATCGACATCAGTATCTTCTGCTACGCGTATACCGCAGAGAGCCTTCGGAAGATCGCGGAGAACGTTGTCAGCGTGTCGTACACCATCAGCTCTGTCGACTCGAGTCAGCTCGACGCCGACACCCTTCGCGATGTGGTCCAGGTCTGTTATGGGAAGGCGGTTCCAGAGGTCCGTCATCTTCTCTGTGATTGTCCGGCGTGTAGCGCTGATTACGCGCCATGTAGGATCAACTCAAAGCGATATATGACTTGATTGCGCATGCGCATGAGTCAGCCAAGCAGGGCGTCGTTCGCGTGCCTGACCTCCCATCGACGACGGCGGCGCCCGCGCCGATATCGGGTCCTCCATTGAACGTGAGGCCGCCGCCGGCCGACTATCCCGCAGGCTCGAAACCGGCTAGTCCTGGGGTCGATGTCCCGAATGCAGCTGAGGGTGTAGAGGCGCATACTCCTTGAATTCACGTCAAATCATGCTCTGAAATGTTCATGCTTCATTTACCCCCGAAAAGAATGTGCGAATGAGGTGCTACAAGTGCTAGTAAGGAATGTGGTCCGTGAGCCCATTATGGACGGTAGCTCTACTCTACTTTATTAATCTCTAATTGACTTTTTGAACCTTGTCTGTTAAATCTTTCCCCTACTTGTGATCACTGGTATGACTGCTGGCATCGTCGGCAACGCCGGGCGTGAGCGCCCGGAGGCTGATGTCCGCTGGGTCTTTGGTGATATGTACGATCTGGTGGATGTCTGATGTAGAGTGCATGAGCCAACACTCGGGAGGAAGCGCAAGAGAAGACGCACGTATTCCACCGAGGGCGTCCAAGGCTGGACCCTCCCGTGGCTGCCTGTCGGCGGGTGATCCCGATCTCGACGCCGACTCCAGCTCCGCCTCGTCATCGTCCGAGTCCATCATGTCGCTCCCCTTTCCGTTCCGGCGCCAGACGAGGTTGTACAACAGCGTGCAGCCGTAAACCCGCCCGAGGAAGAAGCTGAACGCGAGCGTGACTGCCGTCTCAGGCCACGCTGCGAAGCCGATCAGGGCACAGGTTGTCACGAATGCGGTAACGGAGCCTGTCTGGATAGCGGAGAACATCAGTCGCCGGACGGCGTGCTGCGTCCGTTTGAAGGAGGACTTGAATTGGCGCAGCTGGACGACGAGCGCGGTGGCGATGGCAACGTCGGTTGTGGCAGCGGTGATGTACCATAGCCTGTTGCCGAGGTCAGTAATGAGGTATGGTCGGCGGGGCAGACAGTGGCGTACAGCGCGGCCGGTATTATCTTCTTCCGCTCGGTGACGGAAGCGTGGATAAGAGAGAGAACGCTGACACCGATTGCGCCGCCAAGGGCAGTGGTCGCGCACAGAACCAACATCAAACAAACCACGTATTTTTCGGAGCTAAAAGGTATACAAAATCAGGAGACGGAATGGTGGAAAGGCAAATCACATACAGGATGCCATATCGGCGGATTAGATACAACTGCTCAAAGAACCCGCTCAGCCCAGTGGCAATAGTCTTGCATTCCGTAGTGTCAGCATTGATTACAAATGGCGGGAGAAGGTGAGGCACGAACATATGCAGCGAGCGGCCATGGGTTCCTTGCGACAAATGCTATGTCGCCCCAATGTTGCACCAGTACCTAAGGCAAAGTTCCGATTAATCGCCGCCGTTAAAATTTGCAACACAGCCAACGCACCAAGTACACGGCCGCTGCACTAAATATAGTACCCAGCGTGTCGGCGAGAAGCTGTAGCACGACAATGCAGCGCACAAATGTTGTGTCCGCCCCCCGCGAACGGACTGTCGAGGGCCATTAGCCATATGCGATTGTTGGGCGAACAAACGCATACACCGCCAATTTTTGAAATACTGCCATACTAACAGCAGCTCGAGCATGTACGCCATCGAGTTGACCCATGTTCCGATGAGCGCGGGCCTGCAGCTGGTCAGCGGGCCATGTGGAAGACGAATAGGGACACGCACGCGAGAAGACGTTCCATGCCCGGCATTTCGATTCGACGACGGGATACTACCCCGCGTTAATATAAACACAATCCGTAGAAAGGGTTCAGCGGTCTGGATCCAGCCGGTCCCCGTGTTCCATGTAACAGTTGCTGTGTGCGGCTTACATCAGGGTGCGCGGCCTAGGCGACAAAACGGGAGTGTCGAAAAGACACAAGTTGCTCGGTGCTAACCAAATCGTAAGTAAGTGCTGGCGTCCCCGTGTACAATGAGTGGGCCGCGACTCGTTTCTAAGGCCATGCTGGTCGACTTGAAAGCGCGCCGTTAACACCAAGCGTAATTGCCACGTTTTCGGGTGTCCCCGCGATCGGCATGCGATCGGTGATCAAGGAATGCTGCAGTGCGGCTGACCGGCCGCCCGGATAAATTTGTGCTGAAGGAGTAATTGAGCGATCGAACGGAATACGGAGCTAAATACCAAAGCCTCCGTAGTCCGACTTGCACAGGGACGGCGTCGATGAAGCACCTTCGTGCGTTGGCGCTAAGATGATATTCCCTCCAAGTGACAAATCGGTTTCCCTCGACGTTGATCCTGGCCAGGCACAAGTGCCGTTGTGAAATCTAGCTGAGAAATCGCGGATCAGCCAAGTCCTGATCAAATATATCAGCGAAAATGCGGGATGCGGCAAGAACAGAACCGGTACCGGTAGGGCCGGGATATATGCGCCAAGTCTTGAGATCGAGTTTTCGGCCTCGTCCACATGACCCGACGCGTGAGTGTGACATCAAGCGCCAGAGCAAAAGATTCGAAAGAAGCGCGGGACTTGTCGAAGGCATGAATAATGACAGCCACGGTACTAACTGTAGCTGTAGCATTCGCAATGAAAGAGAAGTGTCTTCACTAAGGTGCCAGTGAGAGCGGAAGTGGAAACAGGATGATTGTTGGATGGTCTAGCGGATGGTGTGCTGGCAAGAGCTCGAAGTGAGATGCAGCCAGTATAGGAGGATATGAATGGAGGGTGGGTCGAGCGTGAAAGTCTGCAATCACTTGCGTGCCAGTGCTGTTTTCATTGGAAGGAAGTATAGTGCAAGTGATGACATGTGGCGGTACCAGCGCTGGTAGCCGTCCTCGTTCTCGTGGGATTAGAGGGGATCAAGGTGGATGTGCCTGCTCAGCGAAACAGGGTACGCTGGGGCCCATGCGTGTTAATCGAAAACATCGCGGGATCATCATAGTTCACTTCCTCTCCAAGCGTGTCTCGCAATGGGATCTTCGGAACGATTCTCTCGCAGCTTTCAAAGTTTAAGCGGGGCTAAGAGCACCAGCCAACTTGAAGTGGGCCAACGATAGCCTACTAGTACAACGCTTGAGCTGGTGAAGAAGGGGCAGAGACACAACCACGTACTAGGTCGCGTCCATCCTACCCCCCGGCTAGCTTGCCGTCCTTCGCTGCTCATAGACACTCGTTTTTCGAAGGCATTGATGTGGCACGTCAGGAAGAGAAAAAGTGACCGGCGTGACAGAACACGTGTCATCATCATTGCGGCTTGCCGTTAACCTTCACGTTTCTTCTTCACCACAGTCCGCCCGCCATCCCGCCCGCTGTGAGCACAAGCTTCCGATACTTTATTAAGTTTCCGCAGCCGCTGCTCTCATACACAGGTCCCACAGCCTCAGCACTCGGAGCAGGCCGCCGTTGCACAGGCAGCACAGTCACGGTTATAACCAACCTGCTTTCTTCACTGCGAGATGTCAGTCTCAACGATACTAGTTTCTGATGTTGCTTGTCTTCTGATGTCATTTCAAGATTTCACCTCTCCTTGGGCGGACATGACGCATTCATATGCGAGGTGACTGCGACCACTGTGGGTCAACACAATCATCCAAACGCGGAAGGCAAACGCTGTGAAGTGAACACCCACAACGGTTAACATCACGCCAGCGGTTCATATCGCGAATGAATTCAGCCTGTCATCATCAGGGTAACCCACTGTCATGCTTATCGGCGTCTTACAAGTGAACCAGGACACGCCGGAGGCTTCGGAGCGGCATTAATATTCATCACTATATATGTAGATGGTGTCATCCCCCGCTTTACTTCTCCTTCTCTTTCCATACGACATTGGGCCCCCGTCGAGTATGTCTGTGCCACCGTTGGGCATCCCATCCGACATCGCTTTCATGTCCGTGCCCCCGCTTATGCAGCCTCCAAAATGCTTATCGTTGTCTTACGCAGCACAGGCCCAACAATGTTGGGGATATGCTTGAATTGGGGCTTTATGGGTGTTTTGGCCGCTCAAACATGTACGTGTGGCAACCCGCCGTCGTCTCAGATAATGAGCAAATTTGAAGACTTCTACCACGTACACTTCCCCGACGACCGCCTCCTCGTCAAATCGCTAGGTGCGTCGTCAGCGCCGCTCTTCCCAAGATTCGTTGACGCATCATTTAGTTTACGGGCTAGCCATGCTGGATGTGCTGCAGACGGCGATGATCACCGCTGATGCCTTCCACTGGTTTTGGTGCGCGACTCTGTCTTTATTGCTGCTGGGCCACCGCTAATGGTGGCTAGCTTTGGGTTCGGGGACATGGCACAGCTCAATGAAACCTTCTTGAACTCATGGGACGTCCCCTTTCTCGACGCGCTTATAGCCCTCGTCGTGCAGGCATTCTATTGCTGGCGAATATACTTTATCCGCCAGACCATCCTCGTCCCCTTGGGCATCTTCCTGGTATAGGTCATCTACATGCGCGGGTCGCCTGATCTGATGGAAATTTTGCTCAGATATCGATTGCGCAGTGTGTGGGCGGAATTGCAACTGCTGTCAAGGTGAGTGCTCGGGCTATGCTGCGGATCTTTCCGGCTAATCAGTCGGATACTTATCCACTTTGCAGGCGCATCGGTTGGGCCGCCTCTCGCTCATCCCCACCGAAGTTTTCGAGCAAACGGTGCGCAGTTTCCCGTCGCTCATGACCAGCTACTATTAACCTGGATACAGCTGTGGCTTGTTAGCGGCGCCGTGGCGGATGTGGCTATCGCAGTGACGCTCGCTTGGGCTGTGAGTATTCTGTATGATTCGCGCTCTTCGCTTCGCGATAAGCGCCACAACTCCGAACTCCGCTGATCGCCGTGATTTTGTAGTTGTTGTATAAACGCACAACCACGCTGCCGCGCACAAAGAGTATCATATCGCGCGTGATTCGGCTGACAGTGGAGACAAATGCGCTGACTGGTGAGTGCGCAAACCAGTGGGACAACGTTAATTTGAATTCATAGCCGGCTGCGCGGTGTTGGCGTTGATTATATTCTGGGGAGCGCCGGTGCGGATTTCTCTGTGCCAGGCCTTGAATTTGTGCTGATTTTCGCGCCATAGAAGCATCCTACGCTAGTCGTCCCACCGTGCGTTCGTCTTATGTTGTTGTGAGTCGTGACATCACTTGTATGCCTAACACGACGACAGAACGGCCATCATCGGAAAGTTGTTCGTCTCCATGAGTAATCATGGCCTTGCTACTGGGCTCACGAGTCACAATGCAGATATACCAACTGCCTCATAGCAGTATTCAACAACCGCGCGATAGAACCGATTCGCTCAGGCCCCCGAGTGTCCGCGACAGCGCCGGCACAGTCCCGCACCAATAACCATGCAATGCACTCAGTGCAGTTTGCCATCGACGCCGAGCACGGCGCGCGCGCCGGTGGGGTGTCCGTATCCGATGGCAGTGCCGCGGAAGGTGTGAAGGTGCATGTCGTGCGCGAGATGGAGCTAACGTATGATCCTGAAACGGAGCTCGAGGTCCGTGATTTCTTTTCTAGCCGATAAACACTGAGATAGACATATTGTTGAAAGGACTTTCCCAAAGCCCGCTAGATCCGACCGAACATGTATAGGCCAATACAAACATCGGGCTGTTTTGTATGTTTGTATGTTTCACAAAAATGTAACTCTCCAGTGGGGCTTTAAACTAAGTACTGTTGAAGGCTTAAACATACTTGAGACACTGAGTGGACACCTGTGAGTACTTCAAAAATCACAGAGCTCAGGCTTATTACATAGTAGCTCCAAAAAGATCCCTCATGAAGTCTTGCCCAATGCCCACACAGATTGTTAGTGCTTAAACACATAATAATAATATCATAATATGGTGCCCTGCAGCATAATATATCCATAATATAATAATAACAATAACAATAATATAATACTTCCACAAACACACCGGGGTTTCTGCCAAGAAATGGGCCCCAAAGTAGGATTTATTAAGAATAAATAGCGGATAAAACAGAGGTATGTTTTAATAACTGAGAAAGATAATAAAAAAAACTCCAGGAAAGTAGAATTGATTTGCATGAAATTGGGGCATATATTAAGGTATTAGATTGGACTTAACCCCAAACCAGTATCAACGAACAATTTTGTGGCTATGATTTGTAGCAAATAAATGCACAAAATGTGCCACAAGATATAAGACTATACATATCAAAAATCAGGGACAGCACCAAGCTGTACCTGACATATGAGAAATAAGTGACAAATTGCCATTATATAGGACAACTCACCCTCATACATGACAAATTAGGTAATAATAATGTGACACTATGTTTTTGACAAATATTTGGGCTTGAATAAGATGCACTTGTTGTCTACCAAACATGGTCTGGAAGAGGGTAGTCACATATATGCTATAAGTATTTGATCCCTAATACAGAATATGATTTCTTATAAATCAGACACAATTTTTGCAACCTTTATTGCATATTAATTGAAGCAGCAGAAAAGGCCACTATTTTAGACCACTATTTCTTATATATAAATACTGCTTAAGTGAACTCCCTTTTGGCCCCTTGGAGACGATTCCAATTCTGGTCTAATTCTGGTTCTGACTCCGGTCCGGCCCTCCATCTCGCCCACACAATCACTGATACGCCAATGCGGTCAAACCCTGGGTTTAAGAAACCTTTTTCTTCACCATTTAAACCTTTTATTCTGGCCCTGGTTGATATAATAAGACAAGAAGGAGATAAGATAGACGATAAGATGGTAATTGAATCATCCGATGTTGATGCTGATGTTGATTGACAGTGTGGAGTTAGACATGAGGCAGACAGCATGTAAAGGCATGGCTAAAGTATGATGTCGTTGCCTCTCATATTAGGCATGGTAAACACATGGTAGTAGTGTATATAAGTAGAGCAGATTTTGTCTTGTACCCCAGTCTTCAAATTTCATCATCTTTACAATAACCCTTCACAGTGTGTCTTGCTTGTCTTCACTAGCCAACAGCATCCTCTAAATTGGTGTTGTTTGTAACAAATGCCCTCCCAAAAGTTGCCCTGGGACCTTGCCTGTGATGCCGCCCAGGTCTTCTGTGCCCAACAGTGGCAGCTACAGATGAGCACAATATAGTCAGCTACCTAGCAGGCAAACCCTTAGTTTCTTCTCTTTGGATCCTCCCCTGCTAGGTCAGCTTCATTTGTATTTGCTTTTTAATCTTCACACTCAGTGTGAAACTTTTGGCATTTTCAACCTTGCTTTTCAGTATATGGTTCAGTACCAATATCATACAATTCTAGAATAGTAGCTCATCCAAATATCTCTGTTATATTATATTTAGAGGAGGCCTTTTAGTCATATGTCTGCAGTGAATTGCCTTTTCTTTTTTTTGGAAATTGTAACCATATTACAATATTGATATATAATATTGATAGTATGTTGAGTGTGTGTGTGTTGGCTCAGGCTGAACATCCTCTCACTCTAGTGGTTGATAGTCTTATATGTTCCAAACATACTAGTACCATGTTATCATTGGGATCAGAAATATGGTAAAATATACTAAGTCTTCTATTTTTGAATGTAACTAAAAGGAACAAGAACTGGAATGTCAAAAGGAGAAATTTTCATGAAAAGTATAAAATTATACAAATCAGTGTTTTACTGTTACAAACAGTGAGTGTCAGTACAAATATTTAGTGACCATGTGTGGGATATAAGCACACAGCAATTCTAGATGGGTTTTGAGGAGAAAAACAAGCATTCCAATATCAATAACGGTACAATAGTTCTTTTAAATATGTATAAAGGATGTCTAATTCTTTTACTGATTGTAGGCTAAGGCTCTAACCATTTACTTTTCATATATACACTGAAAGCCTGTATTGGACATCTGAGGATATGGATAATATTGACTCATAACCTAATATATTGAGTATATATACAGTTCTGTCATATGCTGAGAACAACATGTCCCAAATTTAATATTCCCTAGATCTACTTATATCTATGTAGATCTAGCTTGATCAGGCGATCAGCCTGATAGGTTACTTACATTTGACAGAAAGGTCTAATCAGACTGTGACCAACAGCTGATCAGGACCATCAGCCTGACGGACCTGACAAGGCTAGACGGCCTGATTGGGCCTGACCAGGTTGGCCCAAATAAATATTGAAAATATTATGGTCTTTCCAACTACCTGTCCAACCTCTTGTTATGCGATTAGACTGCAACTGCAGAGTCACTTAAGCATTGTCACTCAGAGGGATTGAACAAGTTCCGGAAGACTGAGTCACAGGCCATCTGGCTGAGCCATGTACAAACATAATATCAAGGAGTTCAACCCAACTATATGCAATCTTGCAACTTTTTCCCTCAACACCTATAGCTATAATTATTTTTATTATAAGGAGTACTACTGCTAGCTTATCTATTACAGCCAAAATTTTAGTATTTGTGCATGTACTTATGATACAATTAACTCTGCATTTTTACTACTTTAGTATAATTACATATCTTGAGTAATATCAGGAATAGCACTATAGTGTGCAGAAATAATATATACCCCCTCACTGTCCAGTATCTCATGGATATATACTAGTTGGTACCCGTGCTTCGCACCGGAAGATTGATTAAAATATTTTGTAAGTACTATACGATACAAACTTGAAATGAGTGTAAAATTTAAGGAGTGGGAGATGGTGAAAGTTGTTGTGGTCCTTGTGTTGACGTTTGTTTAATTGGAGTCAAATCCACCACCGGACAGTGAGTTGAAGTCAAAAGTCGATAATGTGCATTTGTGTTATTGGGTTGATGACTTAGCTGTGGAGCAACAGATGTAGGCAACATACAGAAGGGAAACTTATTGTCCATGCGACCAAGATCGTGTCTGGCAGCAGGTTCCATGTACAGTTGGCGAGCAGCCCCTGCTGCACGCTGGCGACCATGACGACAACCTGGCAGAACACAAAATTAGAATACACAACCAAAGCAATGGGTGAAACACCCACCATTAGCCTGTTGCTGTCTCTCTTGGTCCTCTCGTTTGCGTCTTTCGCGTTTGCGTTGTTGTTGTTGTTGTCCTAATGCACGTGCATGTACTTGTTGTGGTGGCTGTTGGTCCCGTTCTTGTCCCCGTTCTCGCTCTTCCATTTCTCTTCTCTCATGCTCCCGACGCCTTTGTTGCACCAATACCCTCGCATCTACCTCGGGGTCCTGTTGCCTTGATGAACTGACAGACAATTGATGCTGCTCGTGTTCGTGTTCGTGTTCGTGTTCGTGTTCGTGTTCGTGTTCGCGTTCGTGTCGTCGTTCACGCTTGCGTCGTTGCCGTTGAGAAAGAGCACGCAAATTGAGACATTATCATTCAGCAACGCATGTTCGGAGGCAGGCGGAGTTGGCGGTAGAATAAGCGGAAATTTGACATCAGCAACAGCAAGAGCAGAGAAATGGGCAACATACTCAGACACGGGGTAGAGGCCTCCTCTGTGGTGGTGGTGCCGGAGACCCGGTCCGCTGTCCAGAGGCAGGTGGAGTTGGCGGTAGGATAAGCTGAAAACTCAATTTCAGCAACGGCAAGGCAAAAAAAGTGGCCAACACACTCGGACATGCGGCAAAACGCCTCCTCTGTGGTGGCGTCGGAGACCCAGTCCGATTCTCCGAGTTTCTTGGTGGAGTTCTGCGGTTGCGTCGACTGGGACTGTCTTGCAGGGCTTGAAGAGCCAGTGGTCGCTCTTGTTCGGCCCGGCGTCGAGCTGCCTGCTCAGCCTCTGAGTCTATGTCAAGCCCACGATTTGTGCGGTCGCCGAAGGGCCTCCGAAGAGGTAGGAGTCGGCAGCCTGACAAACAGAGATTAGTGGCCAAAGCAGAGACTTTTGAGAAGTCAAAAACAGTGCCAACGCAACACACAGTCTGACGACCCCGCAATTCCGATCACACCTATTCTCCATGCTTCCAGGCACCACACACGCAGGAATGAGAGGTCAAACAATCTATAAGCAGTACAGAATAAACACAGTTCGTGGTGCTTTGGCACGTAGAATATCGTGTGTTGTGAGTTGGGTTTGCGAGTGTGTCTGGGTGTCAACTGGGCTTGGAGCCCGTGTAGTGTCATTAGCACATATGTAGAGAGAGTCAGGGTGTCCAAGAGCGTGGTGAGCGAGTGAGGAAGCAGGAATTGAAGACGACGGTTTTGTTGTTTGTCTTCGACGTTTGTGACACGCGTTTGTGACCGACGACTGTCTTTTGTATAATAGATGACTTAAAATATATTATCCTTTTCTAGCTGGATCAGGCCTATCAAGCTGCTGCTGCTGGAGGGATCAGGTTAGTTGCACATTCATGCACTGATCTGGGCCTGACTGGTCTTGAACCTGCCTAACATACCTGATATACTCACCTATAGTGCCCGCTTATCCCCTCTAGTTAGAGGGGCAAGGGGGGGGTTCCCCCTCTAACTAGAGGGGTTTGACGCTTCGGCCTATGCTTCCTTAAACTTCGTTGCGGGCGTTAGTGGACGCGGGTCTTTGGCGAGCGAGGTGGGTTAGTGGACACTGGCTTTGGTGGTGGGAAAGGCCCCGGCATTGGGGAGCGTGACTGATGA